ATGCGCCTGCTGGTTGCGGAACCCAGGTGTAGGAATAGTAATAGCATTTTTAGTATATTATTTTTACCATAGACGGTAAGATATCAGCTTGAATACATTCTGATTCATCACATGCCTTTTCACAGCCTTACAGGAGACCCGAGTCTGAGAGAAGTATGTTCTGGCTGGGAATGAGTAAAAGTCCAATTATGGTACGAGGTTTATTGTGGGTCAAGCACTCAAGGAATTTCTACAAGTGTGTTCAGTCATGGAAAGGAGCTGAAAGGTCCGCATAGAAAACAAACACCAGATAAACCTACAACAACACAAAACATTGAGGTTGTCCTAAGTTGGCGTCCCAACTCCATAAGTGTTTTCATGAAGGTGTCAGCACGAAAACAAAGGAATTCCTAAGTTTAGGAAAATAATCTCCAACCCAAATGGACATTAACTTTCTCCAAAAAGAAACATAAACAAATAAAAACAAATGAATGAAATTAGATAGTGCTGACAAACTCGTAAGTGAAGTTTAAGAAATGGTTTAAAGGTCGGAGACCAAGTTGGCGTAAAATTTAAAAGTCAAGAAAATGACAGATCACGAAGGCAGGAATAGACTATGACTATAAAAAGTACCCCCAAAAAAGTATTTATGGAAAGACTAAAAATCTCTCCCAGGAGGCACAGATCCTTAAGCTGTGAGAAAAGTAAACTAAGTACTAATTTATTTATAAAATTAATAGTAACACTGGAGGTACGCATCCTCAAGCAGTGTTTTGCGTGACTTGATCCTCACAAAAATGATAATGATAAATAAAGAATAATTGAATAAATAGATAAAAAATAAACAATTAAATAAAATGATAGTAACACTGGAGGTACGCATCCTCAAGCAGCGTTTCTCAAGGATGACAGTTCTGATAAAAAATATTGACACCACAGGAGATACGGATCCCAACCAGTGTAGTACGTGACAGTCCTCACAAAAATCATAATAATGAATAAAGAATACATAAATAGATAATAAAATATATAAACTATAAAATAATAGTATCGCTAGATACGGACAGCAGTGCTCCCTTAAGTAACATGGTTCTGTGAAAATGTATGTCAACACTGCAGGCACGGATCCTCCAGCAGTGTTTCTCCTATGGGTGTTGGGCCTTCGAGCTCTCTAGCTCTTTGAAAGAATTGCTGAGTACTGCTTTGGGTCTTTACCAACGAGAGTGCACCCTGCAGATGGTAACGCAGCATGTTACTCGCCTAAGTCCAGAAGAAACCAGTGGTCTCATACACACAACCCCCCCCCCAAAAAAAAAAAAAAATAATAATAATAATAAATAAATAAAATAAAAAATAAGGATGAAAAATTACAAATAAAAATATGTTATAAAATACCACTAAATCCATGATAGAGCACAAAAAAAAAAAAAAAATCACTAAGAAGGACCGACCAGAAGTCAGTTCCGAAGTCCGGACCGCAGTCAGGGACCAAGGCACAATCCACGTCAAGAGCCAAGTGACTTTCCTTCCTTCAATCACGGGTACTTAAACCCCGAAAGAGACCCCCAGGCCATGCCCCAGATATGTCGCTGAGAGAAGAAAATATGCAAATGAAGTACCCGAAAACCAAGCCGACAATTCGACAATCAAAACAACTAAGAAAGAAAGAGGGGAAGGAAAAATAAAAACAAACTATGCAACGACTATCACCCACTTCCGTGGTTGCCACGACACCTCGGGGACGTCGCCAAAGAGAGGGAATAATAAAATTAGGGAAGGATGCGTAGAAATCCGATAATAGTTTTAGAGGAAACTGTATTTTGGACATGACATATTTACAGTATCTATTTTTGAAAAAAAAATGTATTTTTGCTTGGCGACTTCAATGCCCAGGGAGTAGGGAGACGGTTAAAATTGCTGTTGGTTATAAAATAACCATGTTCACAGAATATAAGCAGTGACTCTATCGTTCTAAGATCTTAGTTGACTGAAAAAGAAATGAAAAATTAAAAAAAGAAAAAAAAAAAAAAAAAAACAATATATATATATATATATATATATATAATATATATATATATATATATATATATATATATATATATATATATATGCCTACGGGACCTAGCCACACTTGGCGGGTACTCAAGCGTCGCGTGTGGTACTGGCCGAGGCTTATGAAGATGAAATAGAGCTTAGATTCAGCGTGTGCCACGTGCACTACAATAATGATAATGGTAATGATAATGATAATAATATTGACAATAATAATAATAATAATAATAATATTAATGATAATAATAGTATCAATAATTGAAATAACAAGGTAAATAACAATAATGATAAAGATAATAACAGTAATACGAATCATAAACAATGGTACGAATCATATCACTGATAACAACTAAAAGCATTCAGAGAGCGCATACCTCCGCCAAGGCAATAAGATCACAGATGCAATAAGAGGATTCACACTTAAAGAATCACATTAAAACCCCCTTTCTCAAGCAAACAAAACCTCCTCGGTGGAAGCAAATCAATAAGGGTGAGGATCCAATCTTTCAAAATATTCCTGGATCCGGATCAAGGTCGGAATCGCCACCAAAATTCAATGGAATCTAAGCTTGTCTAAGGCACACCTTTTGGTAAAATTTTCATATCTTTTTTCGAGTTATCCTGCTAACAAGGAACAAACTAACTAACTAACCAACGCGGCAAAGAACGATAATGATAATAATAATGATATTAACAGTAATAACATTAATGATGATAATGATGATAATAATAACAATGATAATGATAGTAAAAATGATGATAATAATGATGTTGATGGTGATGTTAATAATGATAATAATAATAATAATAATGATAATGACAATGATAATAATAACAATAATAAAATTATAATAATGGCAATAATAATAGTAATGATAATAATAGTAACAATAATTGAAATAATAAGGATAATAACTAATGATAAAGATAATAACAATAAGAATGAAAATGATGATAATAGTAATAGCAATAAAAGTAATAACAATAATAACAACAGTGCTGATGAAAATAACAATAATAGTAAAGATAAAAACAACAATAGCAGTAACAATAATAAAAGTAAAAATAATAATAATTATAATAGATAACAACAACAACAGCAATAACTGTCATAATGATAATGATAATGATTATAAAAATAACAAAAAAACACCATTAACAACAACCATTAAAACTAAAACAAGATGATAATAATGATGATAATGGTAATGAGGATGATGATAGTAATGATAAATAATAATGATAATAATAATAATAATAAATAATGATAATAATAATAATGATAAATGTAATAATGATAATAGTAATGATAATAGCAATACTGATAATAAAAATGGTATTTGTAATGATAGTAATGATAATGATGATTGTGATGATGATAACAATAATAATATGATAACCAACATAAAAATGATAATAGCACCGATAATAATAATAATCATGATATTAGTAATAATAAAAATAGTAATAATAATGACAATACTAATGGTCATGATAATGATAATAATAATAATAATAATATTCATACTAATGATAATAATTGTAATAATGATGGTAATAATAACAATGACATCATCACCACCATCATAATCATCAATTTCCTGTGATTCAGGAATGAAGAAGATATATATTTTCTTTGTAATCAACGCGGCAAAGAATATGAATAGGAAAATATACTGATGAAGTTCATAAGAAAGGGAGATAGATCGATTGTTATCACACACACACACAGAAGGAAGGGGAAAGAGGAGAGAAAGAGAGAGAGACAAAGAGGAAGAGAAAGAGGGCGAGAGCGAAGAGAGAGAGAGAGAGAGAGAGAGAGAGAGAGAGAGAGAGAGAGAGAGAGAGAGAGAGAGAGAGAGAGAGAAGAGAGAGAGAGAGAGAGAGAGAGAGAGAATGGGAGAGATAGAAAAAGAGAGAGAGAGAGAATGGGAGAGATAGAAAGAGGAAGAGAACGGGAGAGATAGATAAATAGATAGAGAGAGAGAAAAAAAGAGGGAGGAATGGAGAGCCTAATTTCGTAACTTTTATAAGACCCCTAACTTTTTAATAACATTTTCTGAGAATCGTTAAAAATAAAATAATTGTAAGGATTAATATTCGACACCGCTGCGACAAATGTGATTATACCTGCATTACGCTCATTACAATATCACTTTGCACTTTATTCAAGAGTAATATATACTTGGATATTTTACTCATTTTATTGTACATTTTCCTCGGAATATTGTTCTTAGATATTAATTACCTAATGATATGGTATCTCAAATAAGAGCATAATTTCAAATAAGATTATGCAAATTTCCAGGAAGTTACCTCGCGCAGTTAGTCAAATGATCCAAGTGATATGTAATACATCGCCTTAATTTAATTGGCCAAAGAAAAAAAAAAAAAATACGTATCAACACATCTGATCACCTTTCTTATTTTTTTTCTAAAGGGGAACCACACGCTCTTTTGTGCATGAATCGCGAGGCTATAAATACGGTCACTTCTGGAGACACGAGCCGTTCATTGATGGATTCGCTCCCGCTGACAATTGGTGATTGGACGCGAATCGGCTTGCGCGCGCGACGACGGTTTCCAATCAGCGTTGTCACCGCCCGTTTCGGCGCTCAGGTAACTCGTCCGCATACTCTTATTTCTGTTTTATTTTTGACGGAAACGAATGTCCTTGTATATTTTCTTTTATGGCTATCTGGAATTTTATTTTTTTAAAAGAGGATTCCAACTGAAGGGAGAAAAACGGGAGTTTATTCCCCCAATGAAAACTAGATCATTCATGAGGTAAGGCGGCGAGTGAAGGCGCACCTGGCGTTGGCACAGCTGATCCCCAGGCCACCACGGCAAGACTGCGTGGACCGCGGCCCCAGTGGAGTATGGGGGCGGCCTGGCAGGTCAGTCTGGGTCACCGCACGACACGTAGCACTTGCAGGTCGTGCTCGGTCGAGGACGCCGGTTCAGACGAC